TTTTTTTTGTTCTTTTTAAGATCAATCTTCTCATGCCTTCAAGGAAGTGGCTATCGTGAGGCATCCTCGAATAGGGGAGTATGCATTTGGTTTTATAACGTCGACTGTTATCCTCCGTAAGAGCTCAGGTGCTGAGGAGCTTTGTTGTGTTTATCTCCCGACCAATCACCTTTATCTCGGGGACATATTCCTCATTAATTCCAAAGATATTATGAGGCCTAATCTTTCTGTTAGAGAGGGCATAGGTAAAAACCAATAATCTCGACTTTTGCTGCTGCTCGTTTGTTTGCTTTCATTTACATGTTTATTTGGGCTTGCAGAGATCGTCATCTCGGGAGGTATGTCTATACCAAAGGTTCTGAATATCGTGGACACACAATTCATACTGTCACCAAGAGTCGGGAAGTTAACAATACCACAAGTTTAAATTGAGGGCTATTTTAAATTTTTTTTTTTTTTCGATTGTCGGAAGTTGCAAGTCCAAGTTTATACTTAGATGGACCGAAAAGATTTGGTCGCGAAGAAAAGGTGTACCTCAGGATTATTGATAACTGGAGAGGGAAATTCCTTGTGTCTTTCCTGTCTCTAATTTTTTTGTTCTTTTTTTCTTTCCTGAAACAGTTTAAGTATAACATTACTACATGTGTTTCTGTAAGGCTTTACACGTTTGATAACGACGCAGTTCGACGAATACCATGTCCATGAGACCAAGGTCTTCGTTTAGTGTCTCCTCCGGTGTTGGTATTGTAAGACCTTGTGTTTTCAACTTATATTCTTATTTTCATGTAGGTGAAACACGAAGGTATTTTCAGTCTTGAAATTGAGAATCATAGATTTCAGGGCTTTTTGTGTACAATTTAAAACAACACTGTTACATTATATATTTAAAAAAACATAAATTGAGAAATGAATTAAAATGCAAAATGTTTTGCACAATTTATATTTTGATTACACTTTAAATTCAAATCCGTTGTCGTCCAGTGGTTAGGATATCTGGCTTTCACCCAGGAGACCCGGGTTCAATTCCCGGCAACGGAACTAAATATTTTTTTCTTAAATTAAAACTTTATCTCCCGCTTTTAATGTTAAGACGATGAAACGATATGATCTTATTGTAAGAATACTATTTATTAACAAATCTAAATTATATAATTACTAGTACGAATATTTTCATTAATATTTATAAACTAGTACAACGTCCGTGTATTACACGGGTGCTTGCTAATTTCTTTTTTAAATCTAAAATTAATGAGAAAAAGTAGTTAAAAATTTAAATACATTTTTATAAAAAAATATATATATTATTATATATTTAATATGACACTTTTTGTTTGTGCAACTTACATGTGTTATATTATAATAATTTTTTTAACTTACAACATATAACTACATTAAGCATAAATATATCAATTGAGAAATAATTTTATTTTTCTAGTGAATTTTAA